GACGATGAAGCAATTGTCTACCAGTCTGCCATACCAAGTGCATTGAAGATTCTGGATCCTCTAGATCATCTGGGCATCCGCCTCTCTACAGGTGCCTATCAAACGAGCCCTGTAGAGAGCGTTTACGCTGAGTCGAATGTGTGGTCCTACTGCCTGCAGAGGTCCCACATATCTTTTATTTATTATCGGAAAGTGAACGACAATAAGGAACGCCCTAAGCATTCCATAAATTAATGATTTGTCTAGTTCTGCACTTTTCGGGAACCGCCCCTCGAAGAGGCAGTTTTACTCACTTCGCGTGAGGGGCCTACCGAGATAACAGGTGTGCCGCTTTTTTAACACTGTGTAAGGGCTCGTGCTGGCCGCCTACCACCGAGACATGGCAGGTCATACATTGTCTTGTATTCTTCACGGAAATGACAAAACATGCACCTATTGCACATATACACACCATACTCCATGGAACTTGAAAACGAAAACGCTTTCCCTGAATTTTTGGCACATGCCTCCATGCCTTTCACTTCTGAGTTCTATGTAACTGTAGGCACATCCTGTTCGGCCTCAGGTAGTCTGCACCTACAAACAAGGATCTTCACCACAAAAGCTCATGCGCCACCTGTGCCTACCAAACATATTAAAGCATTAAAACTAGAGTGAGTGACTAAATAAATGGACTCTTTGAGTGTCGTAACAGCTTTGAAAACAATCAAAAACTTATTAAAAATCATGTGCTTGTATCGCTTTGCACTCTATAATGCACTACATAAGCACTCAAGCGACATGTTGTATAGCGTGCTGGGTGCCAGGGCACCGCGAGATTACTGGAAACGTGGCCGCGGACCAGATAGCTGTATCCGCAAACGACAACGCTGCCGCCAATCTATTTCTGACTGTCACTGCATTTTCCATGGAGTACTTCTTTAAATAAAGCCTACGAGTGTATCGGCAGCGCCTATGGAATAGGCAGACAGGCAATAAACTACATGTAATCAAACCCAATCTTAAATGTTGGCCGACAGTATCTAGATCAAGCTATGCACAAGTACCACTTACCACTCCACAAAAAAGACACACACAGAGCACACATTCACATCTTCTGTCTAGTGGTGAACAACCAAGCTGTGACAAATGCGACAAACCACTTACACTCCTCCTCATTCTTGTTCAGTGTAGCCAACTCGATGGTATTAACAAACATTTTTACTGCCCTACCTACCTCAGGCAATCACTTCATATCTCTTCAACAAAAACCGATCTCTTTCTTTTTGCGAGAAAATCATTTTGTGCAAAATATATTGCCGCTTTTTATTGAAACTCTGTGTCCCGCCAAAAAGAGAGTTCTGTGCATAAAAGAGTCCCCAGAAAGTTATTCGATTGTGTATCGGTCTTTCATGATCCGCTGTGCTCTCGTCTTTTTTTTCTAATGCGGCGACAATCTTTTAGGTTTCATTGCACGCTTCAGATGTTTTCCTTTGTTTTCCTCCAACTTCTAACTCTCTAAGTTGGGCGTCAAATCTTAGTATTACCAGTATGCAGTGATATATCTTAGCTATTAGTAACAGCACTAAATTGGTTTCCATATCTGTCATGCGCAGTCCGGCGCATCTGCACGCTTGAATAGATTGTCTCACTCAACTTGAAGTATTGCAAGAATGAGGATAAGAGACGTCCGAAAAACGCTGCAAGATAAAGCACTCACGCGTGAATTTTCTTAGATTTACTTGTTCCCTTAAGGCACCATATAATGTTCGGCTAGCTGAGCGAGCAATTCCTTCGGAACACGTACTTCAAAGGATTCAGTGGGCCATTGTTTGGTTGTGCTTAGAGATACGGGCACAAATGTTTTATATCTACGACACACTCTATGGAAATTTTCTGCCAGTAAAAGGCACTGTGATGGCTATCTCGACTCCCACATTCCTCTGAGGGTAGGGGTTGGTAGTTGACCATGGGATGAATTTCGACGCCGTTGGTACACTTTTTGAAGACAGCCAAGAGTCTTCCGTGAAGGAGGAGGCAAGGGTGCTTTCATGTAGCACGGAGCTATCAGAGAGGTTCTGCGACAAAGTAAATGCAATATATCGCTTAATATTATTATTATTTCGAAATTCTGCAGACTCTACTCGAGTGCGAGCAAAAGAGGGAACATCATTAACACAAACAATGGACACAACAGTAGATACAACTGTCGCCAACATATATGGCGCAGTATATGTAGATTATAATCAACATGCAAAAATGTGGTTCGCTGCTTTAAACACGTACTAATAAAATAGTGAAAAAACCTGCACATACAGCAATGCGACACATGAGGTAATGTGCACACTGCACATCAAAAAGTGAAAGGATGTATCAAATGCCGTCGCTGCTGTGCAGCGTAAACATAGTTGTTATTGCCAAAAAAAATGTATGTAAACACTGGAAAAATAATTATTTGTAGTAATATTAACTACTGTTTCTGTCAATATATTTCGTAGTAATGTTGCACGTTGAAAAAAGGAAGCTTGATGCATATTAAGATTACTAAGTGGCTGCTTTACCGTTCGTTTTCATTTTGTGTAAGTGTTTGAAGTTCGCTATGATAAACGCCGAAGGTTTACAAAAAAAAATGCAATGTAATTATGAGACACGCTAGCAGGCGACACAGGATTAGCAACAACACCCTGGGGCTCATTCAGAAGCACGTAAGCCTAAACTCACAAGTGTGACTTTACATATCGATCACGTGGAAATGGGGCTGCCATGACCAGCATTCAAACTTGCCGAATGCAAATAGTACAACATAATACATATCGTGTGTGCCTCAACAGCAACGCCGGTGACACATATTGTTGTTTTCCAGTAAACCTGACTTGTTATCACCTTTATCTCTATGTCCTTTCATCGTTCTTGTTCAATGTAGCTTTTTTGAATAGCAACGAGCGAAACAAAGTCTGCTTGTGTCTTGTTTCTATTCTCTTCTGCCTTGATGTTCGATTCTAACACAATCACACGAATATGGGCATTCCTTCGGTTTTCAGAGCTCCGACTGCGGCCATTCCCATCGCAATAATGACGTCAATGAGCCGCGCACGAGCAGGCCACAGTGAAATATATTTGAAATAAAGTCCCTGTTTACAATCACGCACATGGACCACAGAAATCTAAATTCTTGCATATAGCACTCTAGAAAGAAGCATCGTGTTTCTAAACACCTTGCAGAGAAGGTATTCTGGACACTCTTTTTTTGTGGATATTGGGAACCATCTCGATGTAGACCAAGAATCTTACCGGTTTGTCAAAGAAGTGTGGATGCACAAGCTGTTATTGGGTGACACAATTGACTCCGCTATCAATTACAAACCCCTGGATTGCGACGTGTTTGTCGTAACAGGACCCAAATGTGGGACCAATTAAACAACATTGATAGTGCGCAACATTCTATCGCGTGCTGAAGAGCTCTCCAGCATCAACGAATTGAGGCTCTAGTGTCCATGCATTGAAATTACTGGTGCTGGAGCTGCCCTGAATTCATCACGGACAAGCCCTATTCTGACTCATTTTCCATTGAAGGTTTCCTCCGACGGACAATGGAGAGTACGTGGCGAGAAACCCTTATGTCTTCGCCATCTCCTACTACTACTTCCTGAAGAGAGAGACTCCCAAGAGAGTCACCGATGTGTTTTTCGAAACGTTTCTGCCCCTCTTCTTATGCAGCAAGGTGAGATCGTAGTTCCTCGCGTAAGAGTTTAGGCATTTCATCCAAAATCAGCAGTAATTGCCCATTTGATCAGTGTGGCCATATCCAACACAAATAGGAGAGGTTTTACAATGTGGTGACGAAGGTGGACGTAATAGATGTCTGAGAATTGTTATTGCGTGGAGTGTTATATTGTAGTACTGGGACTAGGCATGTGAATATCTGTTACTGTGTAACTGTTATAGCAATGAAAGTGGGTTTGTGAATTTCCTTTCACGTGAAATGTTTGTTGTGTTTTGCTAATATTGACAACTTCATGGTGAAGAGTAATATGCAGTAGGAGTACCAGAGGCAGTCCTAGGCACAATACACGTCTTATACAAGTTTATTGAATAAAAGATACTTTCAATATAGCTATACTGTGCGCCACTATGTTGTACAGTGTTGTTTCTTTTTCTCCTGCACAGGTAATATATGGTGATTACTTCGACCACCTACTGCCATGGTATGTCCGGAGAAACGATGATAATGTGCTTTTCCCTAGCTACGAGCAACTGAAAGCCGACACGAGGGCACAAGTTCTGAAAATTGCGGACTTTCTTGGTGAAGATCATAGTTCTCACTGCGTGAAGACGATTTTCTTCTTGAAAAAGTGCTGCAAGCCTGCCGCCTTGAGAAAATGGCACTATTTTTCAGTGAAAGTTCGTTGGATGTTGCAAAAAGAGCCCTCACTAAAAAGTGCAACAGAAGTGCATCAGCGGGAACTTTCAAAAATATGCCAACGATATTCACAGAGATGCATGAGTGCTCACGGATTATGAATAAAGAAATAGTCGGTGGCTAGAGAAACCACTTCACAGAGGAGCAGATAAAACGAACGAAAGAATAGATAGAGAGAAATATCCAAGGGAGTGACGGAATGGAGCTATGAAAAAATTGTCAAACACCTTGAAGGTGTCCAGAAGCCTTTGTTATGGTACCAGTAGCCAGGTCACTGAAGTAATATGTGTAGCTTCACAATATATTCTTGGGCTCTAGGTAATTGCATGCACACGGTGGAAATACCAGAAAACTGTACGTATTGCTCATTACATTGTGCTTCTGAATAAACGTTTCAAGGCCTCACTCCTAGGTCACAAGGTTTTGTAGACGCCTGTGTCGATTGTCAATCACATGCTTTCTTGAAAGCATCAGTAGGTATAAGACGTTTATACACACGCTCAGCAGCAGTGGCACCGAAAGGCCTGTTCGCGGTATCCCTAACGTGACCGTCTTCCAACTTGCAGGAATTGACGCGCAGCAGCTTCACTGGAGCAGGATACGAATGTACACGCGACGACCAAAGGACCACGTGCTGACCTACGTCATCAAGGACCATCTTCAAAAGCAGTGAACATTGAGCGCAATAGCACACACGCTCAGCAGCAGTGGCACCGAAAGGCCTGTTCGCGGTATCCCTAACGTGACCGTCTTCCAACTTGCAGGTTGGTGCTCGACCTTATTCTTTTACACTGTTTTAAACGTTAGCGAGAGACCTGGTTGTCGCTGCTGCTATGGCAAAAAACTGCGTTGCCTGTCACAAGTGTATCCCAACTGATTCTGTGTATTTATCATGTTCAGAGTGCAATTATGAGTATCATATCGGTTCATGCTCAGGCGTTACCGAAAGCGCATACAAAAAGAAATCGTTTGAGGCCAGAACTTCTTGGAAATGTCCAACTTGCAGAACCTCGAATGTTCGAGGCAGCCCGAGTAATGCAAAAGAAAAAATGGACCATGAAATAGACCTTGCTAATAAAATTGCTGAAATACACGGTAAACTGAACATACTACTGGCAATCAAAGAGAAAGTGGACGCACTAGAAGGCATTATTGCCACCGTTGATACCATTGAAAAGTCCGTACAAGCAATGTCCAATAAGTCGATGAAGTAATAGAACAAATGAAAAAACAAGGTGCAGATATAGACTGCCTAAAGACACGAGTGAAAAAGCTTGAAGAACGCGCGGAAGAGCAGAAAATTGACAAACTCAAGCACGAAATGAACGATCTAGACCAATACGGCAGAAGACTAAACCTTGAAATTCACGGGCTTCCGCAATAAATGAATGAAAATGTTCTCGAAAAATTGAACATACTGGTAAATGACTTGAAGCTGCCTAGGCTGTCAGAATCGGATGTAGAAGCCGCCCATAGGCGTCCGAAAAGAGCAGGGCAAGACGAGGCTGATAAGCCCGCCCCTATCTATATTGGTACGCTTCACATCTCGACTGACGCCAGATATCTGGCTCAAACAGCGACAAGAACTAAGGAAATCAAAGTCCAAGATCTTTTTCAATGAAAACTTATCTGCACAGAACAAAAAGCTGTTCTGGTGGATGAGGTGTAAAGCCCGTGAGCTGCATTATCAGTTTTTTTTTGGTTAAGAATGGGAAAATGTTCATGCGACAAAGCCCACGTCATAAAATTGTTAACATAAGAACTGCTGAAGATCTAGAAGGGCTGCGGTAATTAAAAAAAAAAACTAGAAAGTTCCTTTTCTGGCCGACTTACTTCATGGCTTTTTTCACACAGTCGCAGAATTATTATGATGCCATTTCTTTTCGGCAATTAAAAGCTACACGAAACCTCAAACACCTATCCTTGTTAAATCTAAATGCCCGTAGTCTAAGGCACAAACAAGAATTTGTAAGCCTTTTTTTCGATACACTCGAACATAATTTCGATATCTTGACTTTCACAGAAACCTGGTTTTCTGGTGATAACCCTGATGTACATTTCGCTGGATACAAATGTATTCAAATATCGCGAGAGAACAGAAGAAGAGGTGATCTGGCGATTTATATTAAAAACTCCCTCCAATATGAAATTACTTTGGAATACTTCCATATTGAATTTGACTATGAGTGTTTAATGATCAAATGCATGGGCACAATTGTTGTCCTCATGTACAGACCCCCTTCTGGTTCTGTTACTGTGTTTCTTAATTATCTTGAAAGTGTTCTAGAATACTGTTGTCAATCTGGATTTCCTGCGATTTTCTGTGGTGACTTTAATATCGACTTATTGGCAACAACATCTAATAGGCAAAACCTCGTTGATATTTTCTGCTCTTTTGGGTATCAAAATGTAATTAACATGCCAACAAGAATTACAGACATATCTGAAACGCTACTCGACTTATGTTTTACAAACTGTCAGTCATGTGAATGCGACGCATTTGTACTGATAGCAGACTTAAGCGACCACATGGCCTTCTTTATTTTCTTCAAGTCATACTTGTCCAGACATAACCAAACTATTCAGAATACAACCATTAAATGCAGAATAATATCTGCGGATAAAATTGCGATTTTTCAACACTTAGTTGAAGGTACAGATTGGAACTCTGTGACAGAGATCAAAGATCCCGTTGCTTCATACCGCCTCTTTCTAAACACTATCAAAGGTCTCTATGACATTGCGTTTCCTAAGACAACGATTAGAAAAAACCCGAAGGTCTAGAAAACCATGGATAGATTCACACCTTTTAAAAAGAATAAAAGTGCGTGATAGTCTGTTTAGTGTATTTATCAGAACAAAAAACTTGGACACATTAGCTACATACGAAAAAATTAGAAATAAACTTGGCACCGATATTAAACAAGCGCGTTTCGCGTACTACGAAAATATGTTTGCTGGTATATCGAATGACTCCAGAAAAGTTTGGAAAAAGGTCAATGACCTTATGTGCAAAGATGATAAATCGGTTATATCGGCGCTCGTGATAGACGGTGAACCATGCTCAGGTCCGCCACTTGCAGATAGGTTCAATGAACACTTCCTTAGAGTTGGCGATTGTGGGACTACTGCTGGGGAGATAAGCAATCATAATTATGTAACTTGCAACATTTCATCCTCTGTTTTCTTGTTTCCCACAGCTGAATCCGAAATATACAAACTGTTGCAAAAATTAAAAAATAATTGTGCATGTGGCGTGGATGACTTAAAACCCCAGCCTATTAAAGCAGTTGCCCATACCATAAGTAAGCCGCTTTTCACATATCGCTAACACAATTCTTAGTTCAGGTATTTTTCCTGATTAGCTAAAGATTGCGAAAGTATCTGTCATCTTTAAAGGCGGTAATAAAAATGACCGTAATAAATATAGGCCTATCTCATTATTACCTATAATCTCTAAAATATTTGAGCAGGTTATCAACCTACGACTTTCAAATTACTTATTGCAAGAAAATGTGATAATACAACAACAGTATGGCTTCCAAAAGAAAAAATCTGCTGAAACAGCACTACTGGATATTAAAGAAAAAAATACTTGACAATTTTGAACATAAATTGTTTACCATAGGGATTTTTCTCGACTTCAAAAAAGCGTTCGATTCGGTTAAGCACCATATTTTATTACGGAAACTCCCTTCATATGGAATTAGAGGAAAGGCTCTAGAACTTATAAAAAGTTATCTAAGCAATCGGCAACAGTACACCAGTCTCGGCGACACTAAATCAAACGTAGGTAATATCATTTGTGGCGTTCCACAAGGATCAATCTGAGGGCCTTTGCTATTCTTGATTCATATCAATGATCTACCTAACATACCGCTAACACCCGATGTTATTCTCTACGCGGACGACACCAATATATTCTTCGCCGGTAATTCCCTCAATCACCTTGAACTACAAGCAAACCTGTGGCTGACACATCTATCTGACTGGCTTAAGTGTAATAGATTAGAATTGAACACCAAAAAAACAAAATGTTTTATTCCGCCCACGCAATAAGGCTATCACAAGCGAGCCTACAATAATACTTGAAGGGCAGAAAATTGAACGTGTCACAGCGCATAAATTTCTTGGGATACTTTTTCAAGAACACTTAGACTGGTCCTTACACACCAACCACGTTCGTACCAAGATTTCCAGTTCCACGGGTATAATCTGCAAATTGCGACAACTCATCCCTCTGTGGTTGAAAAAACAACTATATTATTCCATTGTTCACTCACATCTCCATTATTTTCTTCTTGTATGGAAGAATACGGCTAAAGCAAACACTGACAAAATTCACACCTTGCAAAAAAAAAGCTATACGACTAATATCAGGGGTGTCATTCAGGCATCATACCGCGCCTCTCTTTAAGGAACATAAAATACTTACGCTAACCAACGTCATGAAACAAAAATTGGCAATGCTTATTTATAAATAGGTACGAACTGATCGCTCAGGGTTTTATCAGATTCATCTCCCGAGAGGTCACAGTCACAACCTACGGCACAGGGTGTATACATATGAGAAACCACGTACAAATTACGGCACACAAAAACTATTGTATCAAATTTCGCATTTCCTGAACGAACAACCGATTGTAGCTTCTCTAATTGACAATACAGTCTCATATGGAATTTTTAAAAAGAAGATACAGGAACACTTCCTATTTACACAAACGTAATCACCGTCACCATCTTTGTTTCATATTCCCTGAAGTATTTTTTTGTGTAACTCACATTAACGTTTGGTTATGTTATCCAAACTGTGTTTCATTTATCGGTCAAACATATTCCTTATTGATGTTGTTGTCTTTTGATTATTGAAACCTTGTATTCAAATTTAAAGTTTCTTCAGGTATTTTACATGTCCTACATTAGTGTTTGTTTATGTCCTCTACAGTTTGCTTCATTTTTCGGACACGCATATGCTTTATTGACTTCATTGCCTGCACAAATTTTCGCTCATTTATGTTTTCCTGTACATGTTTTGCATGTAGAAACTTATTTATGCTTAATTTCTTATTGACTCTTTATTTTACACTGAGCACTGTGTTATTTTGGTAGGTTTTGTGTTTACAGGGGGCAGGCGCTTTGTCAGGCTTTTATGCCTTTTCGCCGGTCCCCTAGGCAAATTGTACCTTTCTTCTTTTTTTGTTTTTGCCTGAAATAAACTTCAACTAAACTTCAACTTATTGGAGCAATTTTTTTCCACACTTGTGACTGTGCCTATCCCCGTGGTTAAAAATAAACCAAACTGTTTTCGATGAAGCGTCTCCATTATTTGCGAGCATGCTGCGCAAAATCAAAGTGATCCCACCACTAATCCAAGTTCTGCAGTTAGCAATGAACCCAGCTTATTCAAATAAATGTAGAGAAAATCTCAATAAGCGCAGGGAAAGCTCACGCTTGCACTCTAGGGGCACATTTGCTTAATGGTAAACAAACAAGGCCACACTACGGGTCGATAGATTTGATAAGGCAAACTGAAGCACCCGACGGGCGACGCAGTGACCTTCGGGCGGAAAATAATCAATTGTGCAAGCTTGTGAAATATCTGGTAGTAGAGGCGATATTGACATCAGCGTAATTGTCGCTATAAGCAAAAATATAAAAGGCAATGCTTGTCCTCCAACCCCACTTGCATGCTATTGCGCTTCGAGAGTTCAAGAGCGTGACAAAATGATTTATTCATTTACTTATTAAGAAATACCCTGCTTTG